CAATGACACTGCATCCTTGGTCACTCTTTCCAGTCTTGTACACAAATCCCTCATCTCACTGGTTATGGTGGGCAAGTTGGAATACTTTTTGCCCCTATTGCCACTTCTAGACTCTCCTTCTACCACCACCACTCAGCAATCCCTCCTACTTCGAGGTTCACACATCAAACTTATCACCCAATCTAGACCCTGGTAGTGGTTTTCTACTGATCCCATAAGACATTCTCTTTCCTTCCTCAAGGAATTCATTGCCTGGCTCACAGTCTTCTCTCGTTCCCATCTCCTGCTCTCATAGACTTCAACACACCTGTACTGATCCCTCAGTTACCCTAACTTTTCACTTTTCTATCTACTCAGCTTCCATGCTTGTTCCTCCACTCTACCTCAGGCGCAACACAAAGAGACGGCCATACCCTTGAACTTGCCACCAGCCACAAGTACTCTCCTTCTATGTTTATGAAGTCTGCAATTCCTTTATCTCGTGACAGTCTGTTACTCCATCTTTCCCTCTGCTTTAGGCCTCCTAACTCTTGTTCTCTGTCCTCATCATGACCTTCACATCTCAGACCTTTCCTCGGGTACCACCCTATATTAGCTACATTCTTCTCGCTTGTCTATTCTGACCCTTTGGAGAAATCAGTTCACTTCTACACTTAAATCCCGTATGCTCTTACTCTGCTGCTAATCACGCTTTTCCAAAGCCCAATTCTGGATTACTCCCATCACTATCACTTAAGCTTCTATTCATGTACAACAGTATCTGAAAACATGAAAACAGAGCTGGACAAAGTCACAAAACTGTGTTGACTGGGTCCACTGCAAATTAATGTTCTATAATCTTAACTGGGCCCTCAATGTAGCAATAATCCTTTTATACTCCTCTAACTGATCAGAGGCTATTCAAAACTGTTTTACTTTTCAAGCCTCCTGTGGCACGCTCCTCTCATTCTCTCTGCTAAGGACACTGCCTCATACTTCGCTAAAAAAATTAGGGCCACTGGCCAAGAGGTCTCTCGTCTCATATCACTCACATGCTCTCCCCCATTTATCTTCTCCTTCACCAATTTTTTAGGAATAGGCAGCCCGTCTCCTTACCAAGGCAAATCCCTACAGATGCTTCCTTGATTCCACTCCATCTTCTCCAGCAGACTGCCCCTTCTGTCATCCTCCCTCCCTCTCTCTCTCTTCTAGTCTCTATCTACTACTGGCTGCTTCTTTAATGCCTACAAACATACCCATGTCTCTCCCATCCTTAAAAATACCCACATTTGATTCTATCATTCCTGGCAGATAACTATCCAGTATCTTTCATCTCCTTCTTGGCTAAATTCCTGAGAAAGCCATCTATACTTAAGGCCTCCTTTTCCTCTCTTCTCTCTGTCTTTTAAACTCTCTACAATCTGGCTTCTGATATCATCATTTGACTGAAACCATTCTCTTCCAATGATCTCTTAATTGTCAAACCCAATGTCCTTTACTCAATCTTCAACCTTCTTGTCCTTTCTGCAACATTCAAAATGACCGATAACCTACTTCTCCTGGATATTCTTTCCTCTTTAGGGTTTTGTGATGTTACTGTTTCATAGTTCTCCTATCTGCCTACTCCTCAGTTTGCTTTGCTGGCTCTTCATCCAGGCCATGCCTATTACTGGATCCTGTCCTGGGTTATCTTCTCTTCTTCCTTCACACACTCAGTGACCTCATCAGTTCCCCCGGGTTCAAGCATCTCTATGCAGAGGATTCCCACATCTCAATATATATCCCTAGTTTCTCTCTTGACCGCTGGTCTTAAATCACTGAGTGTCTTTTGGACATTCTGAACTGTATGTCCCATAGTTATCTTAAACTTCACAAGTAAAAACCGAACTGATTAACGCCCCTTCTTTACCCTCTCCACCCAACTCTACTTTCTGTCAAACTTCCCTATTACCGCTGAGGAAACTCAATCACAAAACCTAATTATCATTCTTGCTTCCTTATTCAAACTCCCTATATCCACCCAGTTGTAAAATCCTGTTGATTTTATCTTAGCAATATCTTTTGTATACGACCACTATTCTTCTTTGAAAATGCCACCACCCTGGGTGTAGGCCCTCACCATGTCTTGACTGTTGCAGCAGCCTTCTGGTAGGTCACCTCATCTCAAGTCCTTCTCCCACTCTTCCTAAAGTGCAGGTCTATGTCACCCCCTAGTCAAGCAACTCCAGTGGCTTCCAGTTATCTCCAGCATAAAATCAAACTTCCTGTTTTAACTTTCCATTCTGGTTACACCTAACTCCCTTGTACATACCTCTAGGATCCTGGAATACCTGCATTCCTTGCAAACAGCACTTTACCTCCTGACTGTTCTTTTTCCCTGGCTGTCCTCCACGCCTGGAATTCTCTCCCTTTTAATTTCCTCTTCTTGGCTTCCTTCAAGTCTCAGGTCAAATCTCACCTTCTGAAAGAAGCTTTTCCTGATCCCTCTTAATGATAGTGTTGTCCCTCTGTTGATTTGCTCTAATTTATTCCGTATATATGTTATTTGTACACAGCTGTTTGCATGTTGTCTCCCTCATCAGACTGAGCTCCTTGAGAGCAGCTGACTGTTTATGCCTTATCACTGCTTATCCCCAGTGATTATCATGGTGCTTGGCCCATAGTAGGTGCTCAATAAATTCTTGTCGATTTCAAACTGAAGGCATCTCAAACTCACCACGTGCAAAGCGGAACTCATTATCTTCTTCCCTAAACCTTCCCCTCTACCAAATTCCCTATTACTGTTGAGGAGACCATCATTTTTCCAGGTGCCCATGTGAACTTCCATCTACTCTGTTGATATTTTGTACATACAGTTGGGAGGTGAAGTGCTCTTTGCAAGGAATGCAGAACGCAGGTGCTGCAGGATCCTAAAGTTAGGCAGAAGGGATTTAAGTGCAGCAAGAATGGAAAGTTAAGACAGAAGGTTTGAGAGCTGTTCACATATTGTCTCCTTGAGGGCAGGCACCTGGTTTTCGCCTTCCTTTGTGTTCTCAGGACTTAGCACAATGCCTGGCACAGAATAAACCCTTGCTGAGTGAATGACAGCTCTTCCATATTTTGGAGTATTGGACTGAAGTAGTGGAAAATCTAATTTCCCTTACTACTGAAAAGGCAATTAGATAAGAAGATTCTATTTATAGCAAGAGGGCCTTTCATTTAAACAAGATAGTAGGCTAATGTACGTCAGTAGCAAATTTAAGCTGTCAAAGCAAACAAAGGCATTTCATAAGCACACATGTTAGAAAGGACAGGCACCAATAGTTTACATAGTGTTTTAGGAAATTGCTTCATCTTTTTCAATAATATCATACTCATAGTATAAACAAACAGAACAGAATTTCTGAGCTTCATTTTCACAGTCTTTGGCTTTCTTTCCCACTTTTTCCCACAACATATAGTGAAAAATCAATGGGGTACAGAGAAAAGGAAATGAATATACACTATGAATGTGCAATATTGTCAGATATGGCTGACATATTGGTTGGTTTTGCTGAATTGCCTTTTTCTCCCTTTCCTCTCAAATCTCTGATGGGTCAGTGAGTAGAGGAGTGGAGAAAGATAGATTTAGACAAAAAGTTGATGTAAAAGCAATATATCAACACAAACAAGATATAAATTCAAATAAAAACCAACTGGGAAGCTTTGTAGATTATGTAGTTACTAAATAGCTTATTCACATGTGTTTTTAAAGACTATTAATTAGGGGCAGCTAGGTGGCATAGTAGATAACAGCACCAGTCCTGGAATCAGGAGGACCCGAGTTCAAATCTGGCCTCAGACACAAGATACACACTAGCTATGTGACCCTGGGCAAGTCACTTAAATTAACCCCAACTGCCTTGCCAAAAGAAAAAAAAAATAAAGACTTAATGAGAAAATATTTTCTACAATTTGGTTACACACTGTAGATCTCTGTAGTGTGAAGCAAAACATGCATTCATAATGTAGCCATTATCACAAAACTTTGTTAGGTCAAATTTAAGATAATCTGGCTAGCATTCACAACTTGAGGTAGAAGAAGGGAACAATGGTAAGGCTGGTAGATGATAAGGTTTTATCTGCTGTCTGCTTTGGAACTATTTATGGAGTTTAATTGCCAATAAATTAAGAGCAGGTTGAAATTCAAGTTGTTCAACTGGAAGCCCAAATAAAAGTCAAAAGACTGTGGAGGCAAGGACACTATTTAGGGTGTTGCAATTATCCAGGCATTAAATGCCAAGGGCCCGGATTTGTGTGGTGCTGGTGGTAAATGAAAAAGCTGGGTGAATGTAGAGGACATTTTGAAGGAAAAACCAATTTGGTAACCAACTGAATATGGAGGATGAAGGGGTTAAAGAAGATTACTGAGGTTTTATGACTGGAGTCCTAGGCATGTGGTAGGCAGTCAACAGCTATTAATAAAATTTTTAAAAAGCCTCCTAATACACTGCAGCAAAATAAGGTAACCCTTATCCTGTAGGACTTTGGAATGTTAGACTAAGTTATTCTAAGAACAGTGTAGATTTGGAAACTGCTTTTAGAGCAAACATTATTGGGAATACAATTAGAGTAGGCATACATTTATGTTATAAGTAGGCTTCTCTTGGATTTTAATGGGTGTGTAAATCAAAACTGTTGTTGTTGTTCAGTCCTGTCTGACTCTCCGTGACCCCATTTGGGGTTTTCTTAGCAAAGACACTGGAGTGGTTTGCCATTTCCTTCTCCAGCTCATTTTACAGATAAGGAACTGAGGCAAACAGAGTGAAGTGACTTGCCCAGGGTCACATAGCTAGTATGTGTCTGAGGCAGGATTTGAACTCACAAAGATTCCTTACTTCAGGCCCAGCACACTTCCCCACTGTGTCACCTAGCTGCCCCAATCAAAATTAGGCTAATAGTATAACCAGTAGGGCCCAAAGGGTTGTGACTCAGATGTGTAATAACAAAAAGAATAGAAAAAAAAACAACAGAAAAGTTCTATGAATCTAAAAAGTACTTACCATACAAGCTTCTCCAGCTTGGTATATTGATGGATCTTTTTCTAGAACAGATTTGTAATCTTCTAGGGCTTCATCTAGCTTGTCGGTTTTCTCATATAATTCTGCTCTCCTCAATATTGCCCTGATATAACTGGGATTTAATTCAATTGCTGGAGAAAAAAGGAAGCAATTATTATGATTCGAATTAAGTTGGTACATCTGCTTTGGGCTAGATTCCTTCTTTGATGCTGCCACCCAATGGTACAAAATGGAATTTCACATCAATCTACTTGCTAGCTATATGAACTAGGACAAGTCACTTATTTCTCTGAGTTTCACTTTCTTCATTTGCAAAATGGGAATAATACTACTTACTTCAAGGAGTTTTGCTGTGAAACTCAAGTGAAATAATGAACTGCTATATGAAGAATACACTATATGACACTGGTCATTTTAAATGAAGGGCTTAAAATTTTAGGGTTTTTAGTCTTACTTATGTCTAATGGAAGGTGTTTATGGATACAAGGTGGGAGATCTCTTTTGAGCATCAGTAGGCAAATGAATATGGGTTTAAATAGCTGTTTTAGGAAAAACTAGGCATGTGCTTCTATTGCAATTCCTTGCTTTCCTCTTGATTTACTGGCAGGGATGACAATACCTGGTGCTACAGCTGGAACTGAATGCTAAACTGTTCCCCCTCTTTGCCCTGCTAATCATAAGCTCTCGAGGCATTTCTCTGCCTATCTGGTTACACGGGAAGAAGCAGAGAAAAAATCAGGCTGCTATCTCATTTAAACTATTCAGAAAGTACAAATCTTACACGAGAGAAAAATCCTCATAGCACTGGAATTTTTTCTTTTTTTCTTAATAAAGAAAACGTATATTAAAAGATTAAGTTCTGGCCTAAGTAAGGCACTAGTAAGTAGAAGTTAATTTGCAGATGTCAGACACTTGAGAGTCTAGAATGCTGTTGCAAACTTATAAACATAATGAAGATATGAAGGAAGGTAATTGAGTGCAAGGAGCAGGGAAGGAGATACGACTACATACTAAATAAGGAAAATGGCTAAACCCAAGATGTACAGGACAGGAATATTACATCCTCAATCCTTTGGCATCACAGTAGATTTGAAGACAAGTGGGGCAGGACTTCAGTCACCGAATTTGTTGAAAAAGACAGTCGTCAGGGTCGTCAAGTGAAATTTCAAAAGAACATTTGTGACTTGACATATGGTGTTCAGCACTCAGGTTAGTGGGTGTGATGGTAAGTAAAAAAAGCTCAAAAGAGAACTAAAACATTTGATGACATAGACTGAACGACAGTATGTAAGAGGTGAACCAGGAATATAGTTTTAAAATGATGGAAAACTGGTATAGGGAGAGAACTACCGCACTGTGAGAAAATAGCAAACACCCTAATGAAAACACAGAACAAACCAGAAAACAGCCCCCACAAACACGGAACTACTTTGGCTGACATAATTTGAAGAAACTGTATATAGCAGGTTTAGGCATGGTAATGTATAGAGCTAGAATAGCTTTGAATTCTCAATGACATACCACCTCTCTCCTACTTAAAAATCTTCAGTGGCTCTCTAATGCTTTTAGGAGAAAATATAAACATTTCACTCTTATTTCATACTTGAAACTCTCACAGTCTGCTTCCAATCTACCTTTCCAAACTTATTTCATATTCTCTTTCAGCTAACCTAGCCGATCAGCTGTTCCCTGAATTCAATATTATATCCCATCTCTGAACTTTGGAAAGACCATCTCCCATGCCTGGAATGTTCTTCCTCTGAGAATACTTTTCTTTCTTTAAGGATATGCTCCTTAATGGAACCTTTCCTAGTACTCTCTTCCTTCTTAAATTACTTTATATGTACTCCTGTCTTATCCAGTAGATTACGATGTCAATCATCTCTCCCCTCTAATTTTCAACTACTCTCTATTTATTGGTTTGTTTCCTACCACCTTCAAACATTCTTGAGTTTCCTCTATCCTTTAAAAACCTTCACTAGGTACTCAAGTCATAACTCAAGCTCCCATATACCTCTTCTCTTTCTTCAAACCATAGACAATGCTTTGTATGCTTGCCACCTCCACTTTCTTTCTTTATTCCTTAACCCTCCGAAATCTGGTTTCCAACCTCATCATTTAAACAAAATGGGTTTCTTGCCAAATCCTACTTTATTTCACTTCCCTTCGTTCTTGGCACATCTTCTGGATCTAATCCTGTTGATTACCTGCTCCCCTGGACATTCTCTCCTTTCTGGGCTTTTAGACACTACTCTCTTGCAGTTCTTCTTTCTAAACACTCTTTAGTTTCCTTTGATGGCTTATCATCTAAATCAAGCCCCCTAGCTATAGCTATTTACCAAACTCAGTACTAGGCCTCCTATTTACAATGTCTTAGTGACATCATTGGCTCTCATGGGTTTAATCATTACCTCTACGCAGACAACTCCCAGAATTAAATATTTAGCCGCAGTCTCTCCACTGAGCATCAATTCTATGTTACCAAATGTCTACTGGATAGTTCAAACCAGATGTCTTGGAGATATCTCAAACTTAACAGATCTAAAACAGATGATCTTTCCTCCTTAATTTACCTCTTTTCTAAATTTCCCTGTTTCTGTAGAAGGCACCACCATTCTTCCAGGTTTGCATATAAGTACTGGCCTTTATTCCTCCATCTCCCTTACCCCTTTTAGCTAATCAGTTGCTAAATTCTGCTATTTCTATTTCTGTAACATCTCTAGCATTTGCCAACTCCTCCCCATCCCTCAACTCACACAGTTGCCACCTTAGTTCAGGCTCTTAACACCTCTTGCCTAGATCAGACTTCCTAATCAGTTTCCCTTCTTTGAGACTTGGCCCACACTCCACTCAGCTGCCCAAGTGATTTTCCTTAAGCACAGTTCTGACTATGTCATTCTTGCAGTCAAGAAGCTCCAGAGACTATCACCACTAGAATCAAATATAACTTTTGTCTATTAGACAAGTCAACAAGCATTTAAGCAAGGTACAATGCTAAGCACTGACTGTGCAAAAGAGAGCAAAAACATGGTCTCTGCTCAAGGAACTCACATTCAAACTGGAAAACAAACTGTAAACAAGTATGCACATACAAGTATTATGAGTGGATGAAAGACAACCTCAGAAGTAAAACACGAGGAACAGGGCAGACGAGGAAAGGCTTCCTGCAGAAGGTGGGATTGAGGTGAGTCTTGAAGGAAACCAGGAGTGCACTCCAGGTTTACGAAACAGCCACTGAAAAGGCAGAGTTGGAAGATATTCCTTTTGGCAAGGAACAGTCACAGAAGGTAGGTATTGCTGGTACACAAAGTATATGGAAGGCAAAAATGTATAAGCAGACTGGAAAAATAAGAAGAGGCAAGGTTATGAACAGTTTGAAATGTTAAAGAGGGACTTTTTTTTTTTAATCCTGAAGGCTATGGGGGGTGGCTGGGGTGGAGGAGGGAAAGAGACATGGTCAAATCTGCACTTGAAGAAAATCTCTGGCAGTTAAGTAGAGACTGGACTGGAGTCCGAAGAGATGAAGCAGGGAGATCCACCATCAGGCTAGCACAAAGTCAAGGAATGAGGTGATGAGGGCCTATACCAGGGTGGCAGGAGTAACAGAAGAGAGAAGGGGATACATTGAAGAGATGCTGCAAAGGTAAAAGAACAGAAATTGGCAAGTGATTGACTACAGGAGGTGAAAGAATGAGGAGTCTGAAGATTAATAATACCTACTTTCCTAACCTGGGTGACTGGGAGGATGGTGGTCCCCTTTGACAAAAACAGGGAAGTTTGGCAGAGAAAAAGGGTTCAGGGAGAGAGGTGATGAGTTCAATTTTGGAGATAATGAATTTAAGCTATCTTAGGACATCTAGTTTCAGATTTCCTATAGGCAAATTGGTTATATAAGCCTGGAGATCAAGGGAGAGGTTAGGGATAGATAAAGAGATTTGAGAATCATCTGCATTGAGATGATAATTGAATCTATGGGAACTAATGAGATTCCCAAGGGTGACAGTATAGAGAAAGAAAAGAGTGCCCAGGACAGATCTGTGAAGGATGCCCACAGTTAGCAGGTATGAGTAGGGTCAGTGTCAGGGTAATAGTGACAAGGTATATGGAAAAAGGCACCGTACGTGGAGGCAAAGCTCGTTTGGGTTCACATTTCAGTTCTGACACTTCAGATAAACCATTTCACCTCCTGTGCCTCAGTTTCTTCATCTATAAAGCAAGGAGGCTGCACTAAGAAGTTTTGCTCTTGATCTTTTTTTGTGTCACGGGCTCCTATGGCAGTATGATGAAGCCTATGGACCCCTTCTAGAACAACGTTTTTAAATAAATTAATTCAGATGCATAGAATTACAAAGGAAACCAATTATGGTAAAATACAGTATTTTTTTAAAAGTCAAAAAAACCCAAGTTAACAGACACCAGCTTAAGAATTCCTAGATAAGATAATATTTAAGGGACCCTCAGATTCAAATCATTCTATCCTATGAATATAAATAGGGAGTACAGGATAGATATAAGATATTTCAGAGGTGATATATCAACAGGAATTGATAACTGAGAGGTGAAAGAGAGTAAATAGATTAAATTAACCCCAAGGTTGGTAGAACACAAAGAAATAAAGAAGAAGGAAAACAGCTTTAGCAAAAAAAGAGATAACAAGCCTGGTTTTTTAAGGTGTTGAATCTGAAACCAGTTGGAGAAAGACATCTTGGTTAGATCATTATGATTATCCAACATCATCGCTTCTACCTGAAATACAAAGCCTCTTCTTGAATATTTCCATATTACAAAATCCCTTCTCCTTTCTCACCCAACAGAAAAGAGTCCTAGTACAAGTTCCCACATTTGCTTCTTTGAGCAGTCCTGTGCTCATACTAATAAGACCAAAATCATCATACCTTTGCTACAGTCATTGATAGCAGCATCTTTTTTGTCCTAAAACGAAATATATCATTAATATGCTTTATCCAATTTTACTGTCTTAATCAACAAAAGAATCAATAACATGGGAATCTGCTGTTTTTATATTTCAATGGGTCTGTGATTTCTTTAACGTGAGTACTCTCTTTACTTGTTCAGAGAGCAGTCCATGCACACCTTAATACTATGTAATTCCTATCCATGTCCTTTGTAAAGGATATAGATTTACCCAACGAACTGGAGGCTTTACTGTTTTGTTTTTTGACACTCCATAGGTACCAACGTGTCATTTAGACAGTCCGTCTGTTATTCTGTGCTTCTGATACGTGCCTGGCTTGCTTTTCTTTCTCAATTTTATTTTTCCTATATTACTGTTTATACCACTCTTTCTTAGAAACTCCAGGTAATATGATTGCATATCTCCGTTGCCTTTTGGGTCACCTGAAATTTTGATTTTTGACAACTGTGGTATTCCATGATTCAGCCATATAGTATTACTGGAATACTTATGGTAAAACAAATTTTTTTTTGCATGTGTTGAAGAACAGCTTGAGGAAGTGGAAAGTACTATGCATTTTCTTAAATGCAATACAACCTGTGTTCTTACCTCTATTTAAATAAATTTTGGGCCTTTCACTGTCCATCTGTAGAAGACATGCATCAAGACTTGGAAGGCTTAATGTATTACTTCCTCAATGAGATCTACAACCATTCAAAAGAGATCAGTCCAACAAACTGGATGGGAAAAACTAAATGAAGAATGCTGACTGCTCAGACTATGCCTGTAGTTACGCAGGGCAGTCCACCGAAAAAATTCACCCCTACATACTTGGACAGATACTTCATTTTACTCTTTTTTCTTTTCTTTTCATTTCTTTTATTTATTTCTTGTTGTTTGTGGGTTTTGTCTTTTTTGAGAGTCTCCTTCAGAGCAAAGATAAAAGGGATGAGAAATGGGGAGATGGTCTTTCTGCAACTGCAGGACCATTTCGAGTAAATATTTCATTAAAATGTGCAGAGGTATCTTCAGGCTATAGTTTTTACTTAAGGCATGCTCACTTTCTCAGGTGAAAGTTATTCGATGGGACTTATGAATCTGAATCAATGAACGAAGGTTGGTCACTAGATGATGAACTTTTTGGTCACAGAAACCAGTAAAACTATAGAACGCTATGATGTGGGTTGGTGAGGGGAATATTTATACTGAGAATATCTTTTAAAATATATAACCAGTCTACTACATCTGACATGAAAAGTGGAAAGTGAGCTTGCCCAAATCACTGTTTCTTTTGGAGCATTTGATAATTACTGAATAAGATAGGTGATTATAAATTATTACTGGTACTGCCATTCAATTCATTACTGGGAATTCACCACAAGAGATGAAAATTTGTGACGCATTCTGCATTTTTGGCTTTAAATATGCTCTCCCTCTTCAACCTGCCTTCAGTTTCAAGTCTTTGTACTGTCATAACTTCTACATATGATCACAGATCTAACGCTCACCCAATCAACACCTTTAATTTTATAGACAAGCAAACCAAAGCACAAAAAAGATAATCGACTGGCCCTACGTTACAGAAGTAGTAAAAGGCAGACCTGAGACGTGAACTCAGGTTTCATGACTCCAAGTTCAATGTTTCAAATCTAGCAATCTTTCTATTGCACCAGGAAGCCTTGCTTGACTCTCTAGCCATCAGTGCTCTTCCCTTTTTCCAAGAATCTACACTTCGGATCCTCAGGTCCTTTGATGGTTTCAGGGGCCCATGAATTTGGGTGGGAAAAATGATGTCTTTATTTTTACTAACCTCTAGCTGAAATTTAGCATTTGCTTCAATTAATTATGAATTGAAAACATATTATTCCGAGAAAGGGTGCAGAGGCTTAACTAAGTACATGACACCAAAAAGGCTTAAGAAACCCTGTTCTAGTTGTTAGTACTCCTCATGTGGAACAGAATTCCTAGGAAGCCCATAAATTCCCCTACCACAAGGAATCAACTCTGGCAATCTTACAGTAATTGTAGAATCATACAATTTTCAAAGCCCCAAAGGCAAATGTTTATATTGTCTCTGTATTTATGGATTTTTAAAATTACATTTCACAATGATTAACCATCCTGTCTTAGTATGTGGCAACATTCAAAAGCAGAGATTCTGATTTTCTAACCTTTCTACTTTTAATATCTACCTAAAATAAATTTTACAATTAGCAAATGAATTCTTCCAGAGAATTTTAGTACTAACTTCAATCAACATCACAAGTTTTTTCCTTTAAGCTATCTGATCCATATAACAAGAGTATTTCTTTTAATCTTGATTCAGATTCCTGGTAAATGGAATTTGGCATGCTGTCATGTACATACAACACCTGTTTTATACTACAGAGGCATGTGTATCTATTAGGACTTGTAGTTTCTTATATTAATCTTTCCTAAAACCAGTAAAATCTGTTTACTGGAAAACTGGACAAGTAAGCATAATAGGAAAATAACTAGACCTGTGATTTCATTGTTAAAGGAAATTCTCTCTACCAGCGTAAGTCAGCACCATCAAAGCCAGTTTGTATCAGAGGTAGGATTTGAACCCAGGTCTGGCCAGCTTTCTATCAAGTATTATAGGGGCTGCCTCTCATATACAAAGTATCAGAAAATTCTCCCACCAGCGTGTAAATAAAACTATTCTCTACACGTGATGTTTCTTTTAGTCGTCTGGAAACACTTTGCAAGTGGCCCTTGACTATAACTCTGCATTTTATAGAGCACCTTTTATACTAACATATAGGAGCTTAGGTTTCCCCTATATATTTTATATATAAAGAGAAGTACAATAACTTGCCCCATCTCAGAGATGAGTAAATTTAAGTTGAAGATTTTAATGAGCGGTCACCCGTCTGTATTGCAAGTCTTCCTTGGGCCTGAATAAGTGATAACTATTCAAAGTTAAATATCACTTGGCTCTTTCACTTACTTGTCCTAACCCAGTAGATGTTTTGTCAGTGCCCTAAGAAAGTATTCAATCATCTATATTAATGGGGAATGGTAATAGTAAGTTGACTTAAACTTATAAAAAAAATTTTTCTTTCTGTTTTTCACACCCAGAGAGGCAATCAGACTGCCAAGCTAATTTTCAGGAAAGCAACACTGTGGAATATTAGAATTCCATTAGTTCCAATTTAATAATTTGTTGTTAAAAGTTGGGGCCATGGAAGAACACATACCTGTTTCATCCTTGCAGCAGCTCGGTTTGAAAACAGAACTGATCTGTCTTTTTGATAGCAGGCAGGGCAAGTCTGAATGGCTCGGCTATAAGAACTTTCTGCTTCTACATATTCTGAAATTTGTAAGGTAAAGAGGTAAGTCTTTAGTATTTCGTTTTTTTATGCTATTTCTATTCTACAAGATTCCCTCAGTATATTACAGTATTTTCTATTAAGTCTCATCCCTAGAACAGTGGTCACAGCCATAGTAACTTTTCTGCCATGGAAATCACTATAATTATCTTTAGTTTGTTTTAAAGAAATAGTGCTTCTTATGCTCATCTCACAAAGCATTTTCCTTTGCTCACTGAGATCCAAAACAGGTGTCCTGACTAACTAATGACTTTTTTAAAAAAAAAATCACCCATAACTATCTTTCATTTCTAGGGATGCAGAATCAGAGGACTCCGTAAGTAAAAACTCCCATAAGTTTCCTACTATACTAAATCCCAAGTTCCAACTATCATAAAGCTCCACCAATTTAGTTAGGCATTTTTCAAAGAGGGGAGCATAAATAAAAAGAGAAGGGACTCAAATCTACGCCACTCAGCATGGAAGAAAAAGAAATTATTTTGTTTGCGGTTAAAACTGAATGGCAAAAGCCATCCCCCAATAAATAAGTCATGAAAGGATATGAACAGACAGTTCGGAAAAGAATTATAAACTATTAACAAACTGTGAAAGAATACTCCACATCACCAATATGAGAAATGATAGTAAAAACAACCTTGAGGTTTCAACACAAACCCAGCAGACTGGCAAAGATGATGAAAGATGGAACAGTCAACGTTAGATGTGTTGTGTAAAGACAGAAATGCTGATACATTATTTTTGGATCTGTGAATAAACACAGCCATTGGGGAAAGGAATTTGGAATTAGATGTCTATACCTCTAAATCCAGAGAGTCCACTGACAAGAAATATACCCCAAAGAGATCAATGACAAAAATAAAGTCTCCACATACATCAAAACATTTATACCAACACTTTTTGTAGTAGCAAAGAACTAAATACAAAGTAGATGTCTGTTGATTGGGGAATAGCTAAAAAAATTGTGGTATACGAATACAATGGTGTATTACTGTGTCGTGAGAAATGATAAATGTGATAAATATGGAGAAGCATGGAAAGATCTACATGCAAATCAAAGTAAACAGTCACAAAACACGACCAATGACTACAACAGTGTAAACAGGAAAAAAAGCACACCAGCATCAATCAAAAATAGACAAAAGCCTGGTTTCAGAAACCAGAGGAGAAGACACTGCTCCCACTGCTTGGCAGAGAAGGGGAGGGTCCACAGGTGTGCAGCACTGTATACGATGTCAGAATTTTCTGATGTATTGATTGGCTTTGGTGAATTTTATCTTTTTAAAAAATTCTTTGTCATAAAAATAGCTCTCATGGAGAGGGAGAAAAATGGGAGGAAAATCTAGGTAATGTAAAAACAAAACACAAACAAAAACTTATTTTAAAAAAAACTGAAAGGCTACCACAGACTGCTCAGAGACAAACATGTTTTTAAGCCCAACACATACCTAATATACAAGATAGATATGTATATATGTATACTATATACATGCAGGCACACACACACACACACACACTCTCTCTCTCTCTCTCTCTCTCTCTAATGGGTGCCTATTTAATCTCAGAGGTAGTAGAGAAGCACTGGAGTTTACTGGGGCAGGCTGACTTGGTCAGGCTACTATTTAGGAAGATTACTTAGAGGACTGTGTGGAGAATGGACTCTAGTAGAGAGGGAAGAGACTCAAGATAGGGAGAACAAGTAGGAGGCTCTTATAATAATCCAGGGGAGAAGTGATGAGGACCCTGCATGAGGGTGATGACTTTATATATGATAATTTTATATTATTTTTACATATACATACAATGTTCCACTTGTGTCAGTGTTAAAATGTCTTATTTATGCCCTCTTAGGTCTAATATTTAACTAGATTAAAATGCATGACCTTTAGAAGTCATAAAGAGGTTGGCATAGTGTGTAAAGAGCCTGACCTCACTCTTGCCGCTGGGTAACCTCGGGAAGTCATTTAACCTCATAGTGCCCCTAGGCAACTCTCTAAAATGATAAGTAGCTGAGAAAGTGCCAAAATGCATTGGTAAAGGAAGTTCCTCAACAGGAAAGAGGACATTTCTCAATGAGATCATCCTACAATAATCAAGTACATCAGTAAAAACAAAAATAACTAAAATAAATACTCTACTCTTAAAGTGGGCTGACGTTACTAAATAACTGTTTGAAGCAAACATTTAAGCAGAAGACTCCCAGATACATAGATCCAGCCCTAATTTCTCAAGCTCCAGTCTTAAAACACCTGCTGCCTACTAGACATTTTAAACCTGCATGTCCAAAACGGAACTCCTCTTTCTTCCCAAACGCAGCCCTCTTCTGAACTTCTGGACTCTCTAGACTGCTGCCATCTCTCTAGCATTTCAGGTTTGCAACTTTTAGCACCATCCTTAACTTTTCACTCTCATTCCACTCAAATCAACAATCAGTTGCCAAATCTTGTCATTTCTGTCTCCACAACATCTCTCACACACATCCCCTTATTTATAAAGCCAACAGGCTAATGCAGGGTCCTTCTCACTTGCGTTATTGTAAGAGCCTCCTGCTTGTTATCCCTGTCTCAAGCCTCTTCCCTCCCCACTCAAAGCCACTCTCCATACAGCTCCCTAAGTGGCTTTCCTAAATAGCAGGCCTGACCATGCTAACCTTTCCCAAGATACTCCAGGGTTCTCTATCACCTCGAGGATGAAATAAACACTCTCTCGTCTGGCATTTAAAGTTCTTTACAATCAGCTCCCTCCCTACTCTTACACATGAATCTTCTCCACATATCATATGGTCCAGTACTAGTGATCTATTTGCTGCCCCTCACTCATGACATTCAATCTCCCATCTCCGTGCCTCTGCCCTGACTAACCCCCAATGCCTGGAATGTTCTTCCTCTTTACCTCTGCTTGTTGGAATGCCAGGCTTTCTTAAAAATTAACTGCCTTCTATAGAAAGCCACAAATCCGTTCCTTATCCCAAGTGCTAATACTCTCTGTCCCAAAATTACCTTGCATTCATTTTGCATACAGTCTGCATACATTTATATAGGGTGTCCCAAAAGTCTTAGTGCAGTATTATGCTTTTAGTACCTTTAAAAATAGTTTTTAAAACTATCAGAGCTTAACACTACGCTAACACTTTTGGGTCAGTCGGTCTATGTACAAGTTGTCTCCCTTGATAGACCCATAAGATCCTGACAAGCAGGACTGTTTCACTTTTGTCTGTTACCCCAGCACTAACCACATGCCTGGCCCTCATTAAATTCTTGTTAGTTCATATCTTTTTCATGTGAAAATAGCTAATAAAATGACTAATATATCTAGAATGCTCAAAGCATACACATATCTTTTGAAATTATGTGACAGAGTATTCTTACAAAAGTAAATGCCTCTTCAAAATTATGTAAAACCATATTAATCCAAAAGCCACTATAGGCTATGAGAGTAGATGTGTGGAACATTTATCTCATTAAAGCATCATGGAAAGGATTCATTAGGCTCATGCCTAGAGACAGATGCAAGGAAAACTTAAACAGGAGCTTCAGTCAAACCTTAAAGGTTAGGGTTTTCCAAGGTAACAAGAGGGTTTTTTCCTTTAATTTTTGGACTGAAAGATAATAAATCACAGGAAAAGAAAATGAGATTTCTGCCAAAAAGACTCATGTGGAAGATGACCTGTATCAGCTAAGAATGTTGCCTATGACTTAGTTAAGTAAACAAAAATCCAAGGTATAGGGAAGCAAAACTTAAATAGCAGAGAATGTAGCTCTAGCAGAGGCCGCAAAATCTTCTTTTGTTGCATTATTTCTTCACAGTTTTGACAAAAAATAAAGGTTTAGGAAGACCACCATCATCAGTTCTAAAACATTTTATTTTTTAACTTACCTCCTTTCTTAAACTGTTCATTCCCTTCCTCCTTTAGTCTGGTGCTCTCCTCTCTTCTTTTCTAAAAAACACGAGAGGCTTTATCTTGCAGGGTCTAAATGGAGTGACAAAGCAGGTCAGTGTCCCATGACTGAAAAGTAATTCTCCTGATAGCTGGTCAGTGTTCTTGCTCTACTTTCAGAGACACATATGCGGAAGATGAAGGGTGCTTAGACTTTTGCATGGAAGGTGCAAAAAAAAATCAATAAATCAATCAACAAACATTTATTAGCTGCTTAGACAATAAATGTTGGGCACTGTGTTAGGTGAATCAGGGAGAATTATATGTCCTGAACTCTGAGAAGCTACCAACCTCTTACAAAATGCTGCCCTGATGACATTACCAAAGCAGAATTCTGACTGACCTGGATCCAATATGCCACTCTTTTTGTGAGAGATCAATTATAATAAAGAAAAGCTACACTCTGGGATAACTCAAAATGGCCACTACTTTCAAAAGGTATTGAATTCTCTCTCTTTTTTTGGGGGGTGGTGGTGGCAGCAGCTAGGCAATGGGGTTAAGTGACTTGCCTCAGGGCACACAGCTGTCAAGTGCCTGAGCAGGATTTGAACACAGGTCCTCCTGACTCCAGGGCCGGTGCTCTATCTACTGTACCACCTACTACCCCCAAAAGGTATCAAATTCTTAATTGGTGAAAATGTTAAGGTTTACACTACTAAAATAAAGCGGCTAAAATGACCTATACATTATCCCACATCAACCTAATCACCCTAAGCTGGAAAAGTGACAACAGTAGTACTAAATGTGGTCAACCTTCAATATTGTTTCTGGCATTTATTACCGAAGCTGTACGAAAAGCAAACACTTCCTCACTTGCCCCTTACTTACTCACTCTGTTCCCTCACTACTTTCTCTTCCTTCTTCCAGCCAAGACTGCTCAGTTGCCAATTTTGTAGTTTTCTCTTTTTACATATGACATTTCTAAAGAGTAACTTTATGTTTTGGTAGGGAAAAGACATACAGATCATTACAGCACAAGTGCTACATTCTTGGTCATGAGATTTGTAAAGGCAAATGATGGTGAGAATGCCTGATTTTCTGGTGCCTCCTCTCTGTTGATTATTTCCTATTTATCCTCTACATGATTTGTTAGCATATAGCTGTCTGAATGTTGTCTTCCCCATTAGACTGCAAACTCCTTGAGGACAGGGGAATTATCTTTTGCCTTTCTTTGCCCAGTACTTATAATCCCTGGCACCCAGCAGGTGCTTAAATATTTATTGATCATTTTAAGGCAGTGGAATAATTTAAATCAGCATAATCTTTGTATACAAATTAGATAGTGTTAATTAATTTCTTCCCCTCCTGGATCACAGCCTTATCTGGCAAAGGGGCTTGCTTAGATCAATGAAACCATGAGCTACGCTGTGCAGGGTTGCCCAAAACGGCCATGTCACAGTGGAGAATTCTGACAAGAGGTGATCCACTGGAGAAGGGAATGGCAAACTACTCCAGTACCTTTGCCAAGAAAAACTCATGGACACCATTAAAATGCTAAAAGAGACGACACTGGGAAAAGATGAGCCCCTCAGGCTGGAAGGTGTCCAGCACCTTGGTGGAGGACAGAAGGGCCTGCTGTGCTATAGTCCATGGGCATGAAGAGTCAGATGTAACTAAACAACAACAACAATTAATTTCTTTCATTAAGATGTTCTAAAGAGACAGAGAAAAAGACTGTGAAGGAATCAAGATAAATAAAATCTCTTTTTTCCCTTAGTTTCTCTTCTTACTCTAACTGAATTTCAGACAGGCAAAAAAAAAAATCATTACACTCAACTCCACAGCAAAGATGGCACATGCTCAGCACGCAAGCGCTTTCAACCATGAACATCTTAACACCACTGCTGGTAAATGCAAAATCAGCACATATCCATGCCTGTCAGCTTTTGACAATGCAGTTTCAGAGACTCCAAAAGCACTTCTCTACTCTAGAAGGTCTTGTGTATAACACAACCCTGGAGAGATGAAAGAGAATACTAGGGATAAAAAGTTTAATCCATAGTGGGCTTCCAAACAGACTCCTGAGGCCAATTTCATGTTTTGGCCAGCATACATTTTTCACCCAGAGCACAAAGCAAAGGTCGAAAAAATTACAATGCAGCACACAATTAAGCAGCAAACATTAGAAAAGGAACTGCTGCCCTCTGCACACATTGTGTAAATTGAGGATTAATGCAATTGTCAATATCGAGCAGAACATCTCCTTGGTAACAGCAAAAAATAGAACTCCACCATCCTAGCTGTGCTAAGAGATCTGCTTTATCCTTACAAAAAGACAGGGGTTCGTTTCGTTGCCAGTATGTTCTCTGTACAGTACTACACCACAAACATACTATGTTATTGGAAGTTCTTCCAAATACAGATTCAAGAGGCTGTGAGGCAGTCTTACAGCTGTATAGTAGTTATCATGTTACGCTGCTTACAAAGAACCTTTAGGTAGCGGTGCGAGATGATGGCAGTCAGAGGCGCTGCTTCTCAGGATATATTCTTTTTACTCTAAAAATGAAAAGCTTCTAATTACGGCAAGGAAGCCCCTCACACTCCTTCACAACGCCTTTTAAAGAATTCCAGAAAGGCTCACAAGGACACATCTGCTCTCTTATTCTATTTCAGTAAGGGATGGAATAGATTATACTGGACTCTTACCTCAGCACTCAAGGAATTCAGTGCTCAACTCACTACTAAAAACTTAGGGAAGGGAAATAGTAAAACACACTGCAGATAAATTTCACTAGAAGTTGCTTAGGACAAATTCCAAACAGAAAAGGCCCTCAAAAAAAGTCATATGATTTGGAGTCAGAGGACATGGATTTGAATCCTGGCTTTACCATTTACTTCCTATGTGATCCTGGGCAAATAATTTCCTCTGTGGGATTCAATTTCTTCATCTGTAAAGCGAGGTAGTTGGACTACATAGGCCTAAGGTTAGAATCTACTGATTTTGGTCCTAAGAATGGAATGTAATTTAACCAATGGCAACCATATTGTTAACTCCTTGCCTTGAATTGAGATTCTTCATAATCTATCTCTATTCTACCTAACCAACCTTATCTCCCACTATTTTCCTCAACTAATCCTCTATGACACAATATGCTAATTTCTAAGACTTTACTAGTGCAGTTCCCAAACCTTTGGAATATCCTTACTTTTCTTTTCATTACCTCTTAGAATTTCTATTAGCACTGTCACTTGAATGTACATGTATAATATCCTAAATTTTATTCTAATTTTGTGTATACTTTCACTTACGTCCCCAACTAGACTGTACACTGCTGAAGGTCAGAGACATTTTTACATTTCTTTCATATCTTTCAGCATCAAGTCCAATGTTGGAGATAGAGCAGCAGCTTCATAAATGCTTGATACAAAATGGATGGTGGGAGGGGTTACAGTTTTTGCATTCATAGATACTCAATTTTTCTGATGACCATTTCTTGAATGCATTAATACTGTAGGACATCTTCAGTGAGATCCATGGATGTTCAAAAGAGAGTCACTTGGAGTTTCCCTTCCAAGATTCAAGATGGCGGAGTAAGAAGTAAGTCACTCTCACCCTCCCTTATTGACCTTGACCTCTGAAAGCCCAGAAAATATCAATCCAGGAAAAAATGGGGCGCAGCAGTCTCATAGCCCAGGAAGCTTGGGGGATTAACAGGAAAGTCCTCTCTTGTTCTGGGGGAGGGAGGAGCAGTACAGGACAGGAGGTGTCCCAACAAGCCAGCGGCAAGTCCCACCTCAATATACCAGGGAGGGATCCTGAGTCCCAGGATGGTAGAGCAGGCAAATGCCAACACCAGGACTCAGTACATGCAGGGGACCGGTAGATAACAGTTCAGAAAACTACCACGGGAGACAGCATTCTCCAGCAGCCAAATCACCAGTGCCTCAGCACAAGTCCAGGAGGCAAAGCTACAGGCTGACAGACATCCTCCAGCACCAAAACATCCCTGTGCAAGGCTTGGGTAAGCAGGAGCCAAACATTCAAGTGCAAGGCCCGGCTGAGCAGGTGCCTCCTGTGCTCCAGCAGGAGAGCTCAACTTTTTTTTTTTTAAAGTCAGGAAATAGGCAAACATCATGAGCAAAAAGCAGAAATGGACAAGGACAACAGATTCTTATTATGAGGACAGGGAAGATCAAGCACAAATCCAGAAGAGGACAATATTCCCACATCTAAAACCTCAAAAGGAAAATATGAACTGGTCTCAAGCCCAAAAAGCCTTCTTGGAAGAGCTCAAGAAGGATTTTAAAAGTCAAATAAGAGAGTAGAAGAAAAATTGGGGAAAGAAATGAGAGGTATGCAAGAGTGAGTCAATAGCAAAAATTAACTATAGAAAACAAGTCCTTAAAAAATAGAATTGGCCAAATGGAAAAGTAGGTACAAAAATTCACTGAAGAGAAGAACTTCTTAAAAAGTAAAATGGGCCAAATGGAGAAGGAGGTACAAAATCCAATATAAGGAAACAATCCGCTAAAAGTCAGAATGGGGCAAATGGAAGCTAATGATGCTATGACAGAACAAGAATCAGTCAAACAGAAACAAAAGACTGAAAAAATAGAAGAAAACGTAAAATACCTCACTGGTAAAACAACTGACTTGGAAAATCTAGGAGAGACAATTTAAAAATTATTGGTCTACCTGAAAACTAGGATGAAAAAAAGAGCCTAGATAACATTCTTCAGGAAATCATCAAAGAAAACTGTCCTAAGGTCCTAGAACCAGAGGGTAAAACAGTCATCGAAAAATCTACCTGATCGCCTCCTGAAAGAGATCCCAAATTGAAAACACCAAGGAATATAGCCAAACTCCAAAACTGCCAGATCAAAGAGAAAATACTGCAAGCTGCCAGAAAGAAACAATTTAAATACCATGGAACCAGTGAGGATTACGCAGGACCTTGCAGCTTCTACATTAAAAGATCAGAGGGTATGGAATATGATATTCCATAAAGCAAGGGAGCTTGGATTACAATCAAGCACCAACCACCCAGCAAAACTGGGCA